AGGTCTCTGCTGTGTTCCCATCACTTGCTCAATGAGACCTTACACTAATTTTCACTCTGGATAGCTTTCTGTTATTGACTGCAGGAGGTAAAAGGGGGGCCATGAAGCATCCATGGCACTCCACACTGCCTTTGGAGTCAGGACAAAGGACAACTTGAAAGGCCTCTCGGGAGCATTGAACAAAACGAAGAGCTCTGAAGCTCACTGTGGTGTAACGCTGGCTGTGAACTGAAAGGGCAGCAACTGAACCATTTGTCTGAAGCCCTCCTGAAAAAAAAAGACTTGTTTGGCTGATTCAGAAGAGTTGGCCTCTTAGCTGATGCTGCACCGCCCATAAAAGTGGCTGTTGGTAATGAGCTGCAGGATTGCAAAGTGACTGATGTATTTTACAGATTGCTCTATTTTGGACTGACGCAGTGGCAGTACCTGTCTGTAGGCGCTGATGCTGATGAGTTGACGCCTGGCTTATGACCGGGGCATTGACCCAATTGCCTGCATTTATGTCTGGGGAAGAATGGATCAAAGTGAGTATACCTATCACTGGAATATCTCCACAGCAAGCTGACGTCAAAAAAACAATATTGAGAGGTGCAGGGCTTTATAAGAGCCGAGAGCTACTCGTCAGCAATAAGAAACAAAGGCAAAAGAGGCAAAAAGCAACACACTGGTGAGGGAGAATAGCCATCCATAGGACTTTCTGAATTCCTGGTGATTCCTGGGACAGAATAGCCGAAGCGCTTGAGCTATTTCAAGTAAGTAATCTTGCAACTTTCCAATCGAAATTGTTCCCTTTTTCAACTTCGACTCGAACCCTTAATCTGTGCGCCCCCCCCCCCCCTTAAGGGGGTTGAATTCATTTTGTTTTTAAATCATTTTTCCTTTTAACTCATAAAAGGTGTCCCTGCCATTAAATTACAAGCGTGACTATAATTCGTAGGTTCACTTGTAAATATCTTTGTCTTTGTTTGCCGAGTAGTTAGTTGGGTTTTGTTTTTAATTAGAATCGTTTATTTTGCTTTCAATGGAATGTTTTGCAAATCTTACGGTTATTGTGGGGTCCGAGGAATTGTTTTGTAGTCGGGGTATTAGACGCGAAAAGGACAGGACAGACTCTTCGACCAAGTGCCTGGGGTCAGAGTGGGTGGTGAACCTCGTGGTTAATCGGTTCCTCGGTAATTTAATCGCCAACTAAAAGCGACACGTTGATGGAAGAATCCTTGCAGCAGGTTTGAAGTGTGGTGAAGACTCTGGGACTATCATCGGTGCAAGCTTGTCTTTGTGTTGCAGGTACAAAACAGTCATGCCCTGTCTGAAACTGTGTACCTTCCTCCTTGGAGCCGCGCTGGCCATCAGCTGTTTGGACGGATTCCAAGCTGCCCCGAGCAGGTCTGTCTGAGAACCAATTTCCTTTTCAAAACCTCCTTTTGCCAATTTTATTTCTTTTTTTAATTTCCTCTACTGTGTGAAGTTTTGATGGGAGATAGTTGGGATCCTGTTCCATCGGAAACGCTACCCAGAAATTAGTAATGTGCCATTGATTGCCTCAAATTTCTCTTGTAATCCATAAATTTAAGATTGGTCATTTTCTCGTTATTAATTCAAGTCCCTATGAAAATAAAGAGGATGTAGGAATTTGGCAGCGAATAAACTGTGCTAATTGAAACCACTCCAGCGCAAAGGCTTGGGAAAGCATGGGTGATAGTTCAGATATGCTGTTACACACCTCTGGAGCAAGTTAGATTTGAACTCAGACCTCCTGGTTCAGAGGTAGGAACACTACCATTGTGCCAAAGGAGACCAGCATGGTGTAATAATGTTGATATGGTACAGCTGTTTGAATGTTGTTATGTTTTAGCTGTTGCAGTTCAGACTCCAAAACCCTTTTATAATGTAGTATGAGACCAATAATAAGATCTTTTGTAGAACATATGTACATAGTACAGTCTGTCAGGGGAAGAATTGGTGCACGTTATTTTTTGTTGTAACCTTTAAGGACAGGGACACTTTTAAATCCTTGCAGCATCTGCCGCATTACGCCAGTCTGGTCTCAATTCAGAGAGTAGTTAAGTAGTTTTAATTTCTACTCCAAATAGTGCAGTACCTAACCTAGGCTGACTCTCCTGTGTACTAATTGAGGGAGTGCTTCACACTTCTAGGAGCCCATTTGTTCCATTCTGCAAACGAGCAACTCACCCAGTGTCACTACCCTGGCTGCCTGCACCTCGTAATGCTACACTTCTCTGATCATTGTTTAACTCTCCTTTTGAAAGGATCAACTGAACTACAGGAACAGATAATAAGGACACATGGTCAGAAGCTTGCTTAGAGAAGTAGTTTTTAAGGGACATCTTAAAGGGGAAAAGGCAGGCAGAAAGGAGAGGCATTCCAGAGCTAAGACCCATGATACCAAAAAAAACTGGTATCACTGGTGAAGGAATTCATATCAGGGAAGTGCAAAATTCAAGAATTGAAGGAACACAGAGAACGTAAGTAAAGCTTGTAGAAGTTTATAGGAATATATCACTTTAATCCATTACATGTGTAAATAGCCTCTGTGTCTTGATTACACATTTAAACGGTTGGACTTTAGTGGATGCAACACATCTGTAATTTTCTTTTTCTTATTTATATGTACTCACTGACTTCACTGATTATATGGGAAATCAGACTGGGCAGCATAGAAAGTAAAAAACAAAGTTCATACATTTTTATAGCACCATTCATAACCTCAGTACTTCAAAGTGAACAAAGTATTCAAAAATAAGACTCAGAGATAGTAAGAACTGCAAATGCTGGAGTCAGAGACAACACAGTGTGGAGTTGGAAGAACACAGCAGAGCAGTCCGCATCAGAGGAACAGGAAAGTTGATGTTTCAGACCCGAAATGTCAACTTTCCTGCTCCTCTGATGCTGTCTGGCCTGCTGTGTTCCTCCAGCGCCAACCACACTGTTATTTCAAAAATGAAACAGCCAGTTTTCGATCAGAAAATGTCTCACATTCAGCAATGAAATAACTGACCAGGTAACCTAATTTAGTTCATTGTCACATTTGGATAGAGCGCATGGTTGTGAAGTGCCCTGAGATATTATGGTTTGTTAGATGTTCCGATATAACTGCATGTTGTTCTCGATGCCATTGCATGGCTTTAGTAGATTTAAGCATTTGTGTAAATAAATGAAACCTAACCCAAAGTACAGGATGTGCCTTAAGTTGAGGCACATATGAAGAAACCAGGTCCTTGCACAGGCTGTACTTGTAGGTTCAGTGTAAGGGACTCAAATGTCACTGGTTATGTTCATCTAAGTGGAAGAGATCTCCAGTGGTTGAAGGTGGATGGGTCAGTAGGTCAGTCATCATTGAATTTGATTGATTGATTATTTCAGGAGTCAAGGATAAATTTGTGGTGAGTCAGAATGGTGAAATTAGGAGATCACTTTGCAACCTATCTACTTTTTTTTTGCTGTGCAATTGCATTTAACAGGATGAAGTATCTTGTAAAAAAACATATGGAATGTGCTCATGTAGATTTGAGTTCCATTAAACTACAGTGAGAAATTTATTTGTTTAATCCAGTGTCTGATCACAATGCTTTGTGTGACGCTGAACAACCTAGTGATGGAAAAATTGACATTGGTGTGTCACACGATGCAAATAATCACAACTAGTAAACCAGTAGTGCTTTTAACACTGTGAACCATCCCAAGGCACTTTGCAGGAACATAGTCAGGCAAAAAATGACCGTGAGTCAAAGAAGGAGATGTTAGAAAAGATGATCAAATATTATTGAGCAGCATATTAAGAGAGGGGAGAGAGAATTCACAACAGGCCAGAGATGGACGTACTCTGAGTTCTCAGAGGAACCTTAGAGCTGAAACAAAAGTTACAGCGAAAGAGAGAGAGGTGAAGTCATGAAAAGACTTGAACATGAAGGTAAGAAATGGAAGTGTTGGTAGTTAGAGAGCACAAACATGATGGTAAACAGAACTGGCTGCAGTGTAGAGGATGGGCAGCAGTTATGGTTGAGTTAATCTTTATCATGAGTGGAAGCCAGGAAAAAGAGAACTGGGAATAAAAGCTAACTTACACTGCTCCCCAAGCCAGATCCCAAAGAGCTTGTTGCTGCTTTTTCTGACCATTATTATTGTATCTCACTAAACCAGATACCCTGCACATTCTACAAGCCAAGATGCTGTGCCCCTTGAGTTTGACTCCTGGTTGGTTCCAGCGCTGAGGAAGAGGGCGCTCATGGGCTGGTCAGCTTTACCTGAGGAAGATCTTCTCAAAACGAAGAGGTACTAATGAGCACACATTATTTGAGTCCAGACAAGAATAATCTTCGGCTCAAATTGCCACCACGTAATATTCTGACCACTTGATATAATGTGGAAAGAGCTATTTGTTTTGCAAGTCTAAGATGCTAATAGAACTTGCTTAACATCAGAGAGAAGAAAAGACAGCTTAATATGTCAGCTGTACACCCAGCATTACAAATGAAGATGAGGTATACAAGGTATAGAAGCACTTTAGTAAGGTTAAAAGCAAAGAGTGGGGAGGGATTGTTAACACTATACTGTACCCAATCGGTCACCCTTTCACAAGAAGGTGCAAAAGTATTGAAGGTACAGGAAAGATGATTCTAGAGCTAAAAAAAACTAGAACTCTCTGGAATGAGGAAACACAAATAAAGCTTAAAAACACTGAATAGACCAATTGATTGAACGGCCTGTTTCTGTGCTTTACTTTCAGTGGAGACAATGTTGAACTGTAAAGACAAAACAATTGAGGAAGTCAATGTCATGTTCAAATATTATTGTTTTTGATCAATCCCAGCTTCATTTTTCAGGGGGCTGGTTAGCTATGTTGGCTGAACAGCTAAACATAGAAACGTAGGAACCGGAGTAGGCCATTCAACCCTTCAAGCCTACTTTACCATACATTACAATCGTGTCCAATTATTGAGCTCAATACACTATCCTACCCTCCCCGCATATACATTTAGCCTCAAGACCTATATCTACCTCCTTGCTAAAAAGACAATCTTTTGGCATCAAAGATAACAAGGTGTAGAGCTGGATGAACAGAGCAGGCCAAGCGGCATCAGAGGAGCAGGAAAGCTGACATTTCGCATCAGCAGTTCCCATTATCTTTTGGCATCAACTGCTTTCTGTGATAGTGAATTCCACAGGCTCAGCACTCTCTGGGTGAAGAAATTTCTCCTCATTTCAGGTTAATACTTTATCTTCAAACTATGTAGAGTGACACCAATAGTGCAGGCTTAATGTCTGCACTAGTCTGGTTAATATGAAGCTCCTGCTTGCTCAACCTCACCTGAGGCATGGTGACTGTCAGGTTAAACACACCACTAGCCATTTCTGTCCAATAGTAGAACATCATCTGAGCCGTAGTGACATTCACTTCAGAACTACATCTAGTTCTGACCAGAAAGAGTGTGTCACATATCTGACGTGGTTTAAATTTGAGAGATGAAGTGTTTCCCCTCTTGAAAATGAAACAGGAACATTTATGTATTTCTGCCTCATCAATCAGAGCTCCTATTTTCTGATTTTCATCATCTAATGTTAATATTAATTATCTTTCAAAGGTTGCAATGCAAATGCCAAACCTTATTCACAGACAACGGTTCCACATGAGGATAATGCTGCTGATGTTGGAAATCTGAAATATGAGCAGAAAATGTTGGAAATACTTAGCAGGTTAGGCAGTATCTGTGGAGAAAGAAACAGAGTTAACGTTTCAGGTCAGTGACCATTTGTCAGCACACAAGAATCAGTTCAGATGTTTCAATTCTTCTGCATGAGTGTAGTGCAAATACAAATAAAACAAAGTTAAAATTCATGGTGAACGAACTGAATGCCGATAACTAACAAGATATTAATAGAGGCTTACTATAACATTGATTCAGTTTTTTGCTTGTGCTAACACTGATAACAGTGGGAACAGCAGTATCTTTAGCTTGGTGCTGCATTTTAATGAGACAGGGTTCAGGTACTTGAGATAAGTTAAGGGACAGTGAAGGTATTGACTCTTAGATGTTCATTTCATTGAATGATGATGGTGGTGCATTCCAGTTGACTGACAGAGTCTGTGTTGCTGTGGCAACATGCGCATGCATGTTGTCGTCTGGAGCTAGGGAAAGCAATTTGTAGAGGCTCCAATTTCTTTCCATCGCTGACTGACCAGGAATCTCTGCCACTCTCACCTCCTGCCATTAGCACTTGTTGGAAGGACTTAGAGGTTGATACTCAACCTGAAAACAAAAAGTGCTGGAAATCACAGCGGGTCAGGCAGCATCGATGGAGAGAAAGCAAGCTAACATTTGGATCTAGATGACTCTTCAACAGTGCCGAAGTGAAGTGTAGAGTGTGCGGCATTTATGCAGTCGCTGGGGGAGAGTTGGAGTGCTGGGGGAGAAAGGATGTTGATAGTTCAGATTAGGTAATTGGAATGTGAGAATGGCAGAACAATGGTGTGTTTAAGTGCCAGACTGGAAAGAACAAACGTCTCACTGGGGTCAGGGGGAGGGGAGACAGGAGATGGCGACAGAAAGTATTACAAGCAAAGGTAAAATAAAGGGAAGGAATGGGTTCAAATTTGAAGCTGTTGATTTAAATAGAGTCCAGAAGGTTGTAAAATGCCTAGCCTGAAGATGAGATGTTGTTCCTCCAGTTTGTGCTGTGATTTGCTGGAGCACTGCAGTATGCCCAGGACAGGCACATGAGCATGCGAGCAGGATGCTGTGTTAAAATGACAGGCTACAGGAAAGAGGGGGTCATGCTTGCGCTCAGAGCGGAGGTGTTCTGCAAAGCGGTACCCAGTCTGCGTTTGGTTTCTCCAATGTAGAGTAAGTCACATTAGATGCAGCAAATACAATACACAAGATTGGAGGAGGTACAGCTGCTTCACCTGGAAAGACTGTTTAGACCCTTGGATGGTGAGCAGGAAGGAGATGATGGGGCAGGTGTTGCACCTTCTGCGGTTACGTGGGAAGGTAACGTGGGAAGGGGCTGGTGGTGTTGGTGGTCGAGGAATGGATTAGGGTGTCCTGGAGGGAACGATCCCTGCGAAATGCAGGCAGAGGGAGTGAGGGGAAGATGTGTTTGGTGGTGGTGTTCTGCTGGAGTTGTCTGAAATGGACCTCAAAGTCAAGTTCTAACTTAAGCTATTGTAGGCTGTTTCAAATTGTACTACAGAAGTGGGAAACATGCATGGGCTGGATTTTCGTAGGAATGGCCGCGTCACACAGATTGCACACTGACCACTTTTTTTTTACAAAATAAGGGAATTCCACATTTCTGAGAGGAAATTCCTCAGAACAGAAGAGCCTTACTTCAATTCTTTCAATTCATATGTAGCGGGGAACTGTCGGAGGAAGGCAAATCACATTCCAGTTCACAGCAGTCATCTTCCGTATTTTGCAATTTAAAGGTCCTGACAATCATGTTGACAGCCGCTGTCAAATCATTAAGTACATAAGAGGGTAGAATACCCAGCAGGTAGGGAACTTGGTAAGTAGGGTGCCAGCTGGAGAGGGTGCTAACTGGATCAGGGGTAAGACTCCAGGTGGGTAGGAGACCAACTGGGAAGGGGTTCGCGCACCAAAAGAGTGGGACGCAAGGTGGCAAGGTAAGTATTTAGGATTGGTTTGTGTGGGTGGGAGGTTTTGGATCCAGCCAGGTTCAGGACCAATGTTGGGAGGTGGGGCGGGGGGGTGGGAGCAGTAAAATCGGGTCATGTACAGCAGGAGCGATAGCAGTGGTCAGGTCGGGTCTGGTCCAGTGCAGTGGGATGGGGATTGGTGGGAGGGAATCAGGGTCTGGTTGGTGGGGGAGATGTACTTGGGAGTGTGCGAGATAAGTATGGGGCCTGTTGGATTCAGGGTTAGCCTCTTAATATAAGTCTAACTTTTCCTGACTAACTATTTTGTTTAATTTCATCCGAATGCTCCTAAGTCTCTGGTTTAAATGGAGACTCTCAGAGGGTTCCACGTACCCAGCAGAATGTTCAGTTTTGTGGGAAATTCTTTCAGAATGTGCAATAGTGGGGACTAAAATGGGTCACCATGCACAATGCTTATCTATGCTCGAATAATGACTGACGGCCAGTGGAAAATCCAGGCCATGATTTACTTTGTCTAACACTTGTCATCATATAACCTGATCAGGACTGTTGATTCCCAGTCTTACTTTAAAGGTGGGATTTGAGCTTTATATTTCAGGGGGTTGATGTGAGAAAGAATATAAGAAACGTGCTATCGTGGTACAGGGCAAGGTCTGCAGACTTCATGATTATCATGTTGCTTTACAGCAAGAAATATTCCATTTCCAAGACTGTCTTTACTGACTCAAAATCAGGGAGGTAAAACATTTCTGAGGTGGTAAAAAGAGACCGTAATCTGCTGATGATATTAAGTATTCAGTGTGTGGTTCATTATCAACAATCTTAAAAGAATTGTGAAGCCAGATCTAGAGTGCATGCTAAAGGAGGTCATACCAAACTGTGGTGGTCTGTCAGACCGCAGTCTGGAGTCACCTAACAGAAAAGGCATTAGATTGATCCCTCATTTCAGAATCTGGTTATGCATTACAATTTATAATGTAGAAAGCAAACATCTAATTGGCGAATATATTATACTGTGAGGATAAGCTCTACAGAAAACCTAAATTAAATTCGGAGAATTATTTAAAACTACATTATAAAAGTAAAACAAAGGCAGAAAGGGATGCAGATTCAGTTTAGCAAAAGGCATATTTGGGTTTATATTGGGAAGTTCATAACACAATAGTGTTGTATACTGTCAGATAGAGTTGAGGAAGCAGGAAGACCGGGTATGCTTAAGAAGCAATTGGATGCCAAAAGGGGAACACTTGTACCTTTCAAACTAACTGAAATAAGATGAATTCAAAGGCTTTCTATTGCATAATTATCTTGTGATTTATGTTCAAAGGAATATCAGACTGTGGTATAGATATCTTGTTGGAAAGTAAGTGCTCATGTCATGGTGCTACTAATGAGTGTTATCTACAGATGCATTTTTAGACAAAAAAGACAGTATCTCATGTGGTAACGGGGGACTGGGTTTCTCGGTCATTTTGACCCATTTTTGGGCACCTCAAAATGGATAATTTCATGGAATTTGTAGGAAATGCAGCAGACTGGATTCTCAGCTGAAGGTATGTGAAGTAGTGTTTGTGACATTGGAAGAAATAGATATTTTAAAAAATAATTTTGAAATACCAGTTAATATGTTTCCATTTAAATCACTAGGAATACAATTTCAATCTAGAACTTTAAAATCAGATCTAACTGCATTATACTAATCCTTTTACAGTGCCCTTGTATTTGCTGTAACTGGACCAACCTAGGCATCAGGCACAGTTTCTATCCTGGAAACCAAAGTGGAAAGAATTTCAGCTGATATTGTCTTAAAAGAGTTATAGGATTCATTCTAGATTCTTAATATCCTTCAGACTATATTATTCTTGATAATATTTCCCCAGTGTTAATATTTTATATTGCTGTTTGATTTACAGTTTCATAATTCGAAAATACTTGGTGCTGCTGGTTGGTTATCTATTGACAATTCCAAATAAAAATTTCCCTCCTATAAGATCCATTCATAGGATCAAGAAAGTTATCTGTATTACAAAGCAATATTAGGAAGCATTTTTACTGTACAATAGATGTTACAAATCTAGAATTCATTTCCCAGAAGACTAGAGGTTGGGCAACTGGTGCTTGCAACTAGATTTAGATCATAGAATCCCTACAGTGTGGAAACAGGCCCTTCAGCCCAACAGGTCCACACCGACCCTCAGAGCATCCCACCCAGTCCCATCCCCCTATAACCCACCTAATCTACACATCCCTGAACACTATGGGCAATTTAGCATGGCCAATCCACCTAACCTGCACATCTTTGGACTGCGGGAGGAAACCGGAGCACCCGGAGGAAATCCACACAGACACGGGGAGAACATGCAAACTCCACACAGACAGTCACCCAAGGGTGGAATCGAACCCGGGTTTCTGGCGCTGTGAGGCAGCAGTGATAACGACTGAGCCACCATGCTGCCCTTGTGGGGTCTTTTTTGGGTTTGGTAAGGGTTTTACAGGGAATGGTACAACGACAAGGAAATAGATGTACAGATCAACCTATGAGTTAACTGAATAACCAAACTACAAGAGGAACTGAATGACCTCCAGTTTGTTCCTAAAATTTCAAGTTAAATCACCACTAGTCTTCTCTCTCTAAAGAGAGTGAGGCCTATGGTCTGCTAGGACTATGGTGACTACTTTATTATGTAACAGCATCAGAGTTACAATGACAGTTTTCTCACGGGATTTTTTTGAAGAAGCTAAATCTTTTATCTTGCTCTTTTGTACCGCAAAATACGGTGATTCCAACTGAGTTCTGATGTTTATTCTCTTATCTGTTGCAGTATTCGTGTGAAGAAGAGGAGGTGCAACACTGCCACTTGTGTGACACAACGTCTGGCGGACTTTTTGAGTCGTTCCAACAGCAACTTGGGTGCCTTCTACTTGCCAACAAATGTGGGATCAAACACTTATGGCAAGAGAGATGCCATGGGGCTGTATAGCAGAGAACTCTACAGTTACCTCCAACGCTAGAGCTGAGAGCAGTCCAGGGCCCTTTTTTTCTTAAAATTAGAAGATTATTTCTGTAGGTCCAACATTGGTAGAGGATCATAATGCTGTTTTAGAAGTTTTAAGCAGTGGTACCCTGTTTCACTGTTCTTGCTGTGGAACAACAGTATGGATTTCAGGTTCATTGCCATGTGTATGAAGTTTCCTGCATGTTTTTAATTTGAAGAAACCTGCTGGTACTACATGAATTAATTGTAATAACTAAGTTATTCTGAATCTATTAAAGATGAGTATTGAGAATTTTTTTTAAAAGCTGGACAATATTTGAATTTCTGTGTAGATACCATAGTGAGAAAAGCATGACATATATGTTTTCTGGTAAATAAGGTGGCTGATGTGCAGAAATCAACTGTTATGCTCAGGAATGATCAGACTGAACTACTCCAATACATACACATTTCATCCATTTAACTGGCGTGGCATGTGCTCTCTCTGTCTGGTAGCACCGTACTTATATAGGAACAAAGGACTTTCCAACAGGAGTTGGTCATTTGCTCCTTCAAACCTGCTCTACCATTCAATAACAGCATGGCTGATCTGACTGTGGTCTCCTGTACTTTCCTGTCTGCCCCCATAGCACTTAAGTCCCTTGTCTTGTCAAAAATCTATATAGCTCAGCGCTGAATGAATTCAATGACCCTGCCTCTACTGCGCGGGAATGAGAATCCACGGACTAAAGACTCACAGAGAAAAAAACAATTGTCCTCATCTCCATCTTAAAAGCGTGGCCTCTTATTCTTAAATGGTGTCCCCTACTTCTAAAGTTCCCCAGTATCTACCCTGTCAAGTCTCCTGAAGGTCTTAAACAAAAAATTGAAAGAACTGCGGATGCAGTTGTGGGTGGGAACCGGAGTAGGACTGGATAAGGGAATGTTCCACATAACGGAGTCTTGTCATTACATGGGACGCTACCACAAACAATCCATTTTCAGTCACTAATGATCCCCATTAGCAGCTATTCATTCTTCCAGGCTGATCTTTGCATGCTTTTTGGTATGCCCAACTGTGTTTTTTTCTCTCTCTGGGCTCCATCTCCACTTATCATTTACTCCTTCCCCTTCCCCCACCCCTTCTCCAACATATAAATGAACCATTTCCTAGCTACCATCAGTTCTGAAGAAGGGTCACTGGATCCAAAACATTAACCCTACTTTCTCTCCATGACCTGCTGAGTTTTTCCTGAAGATCTTATATGCTTCAGTCAGGTCACTTTTCATTCTTCTAATCTCCCATGGGTTTATGTCTAACTTTTCTTTGTTAAGATTAACCCTGATGAAGGGTCTAGGCCCGAAACATCAGCCTTCCTGCTCCTATGATGCTGCTTGGCCTGCTGTGTTCATCCAGCTCTGCACCTTGTTGTCTCAGATTCTCCAGCATCTGCAGTTCCTACTATCTCTGTTACAGGAATGAGTTGAGTTCTCAGAACTGAATATACAAACAGAGAACCTAGACATATTTTAATAAGGAGTGAGATCTAGTGTGAGTATTATGGAGTACTCCTGGCTTGCAACCAGATAAAGCCAACACCATGCATTGGCAAGTTTCATGTTATCTGTCTAACTAGGAGCAAACTAATCATTAGGACAGTAATTTGTAAGGCTGCCTGTGCCAATTGAGGGACGTAGATAAGGTGAATAGCCAAGGTCTTTTTCCCAGGATAGAGGAGTCCAAAACTGGAGGGCATAGGTTTAAGGTGAGAAGAGAAAGATTTAAAAGGGAGCTAAGGGGCAACTTTTTCATGCAGAGGGTGGTGTCTGTGTAGAATAAGCTGCCAAAGGAAATGTTAGAGGCAGGTACAGTTACAACATTTAAAAGATATTTGGACAGGTACGTTAATAGGAAAGGATATGAGCCAAATGCAGGTGAATTTAGGATACCTGGTTGACATGGGCGAGTTGGGCCAAAAGGTCTGTTCTGTGCTGCATGATTCCATATGTATCTCAGCAACCACCTCCCATGGCCTGTATACTCCTTCAGATCCTTTCAGTGAGTCATGCGGCTGGTTATTTATCAAGCTGATAGAGTTATTTGAGCAAGAATGCGAGGAGGTTTGACGATAGCTCTCATGCTGATCTGTTTCTGCATCATTCATTCTAAGTGGAACAGTCCTATGTTACTGCAGATCTGCCTGACTCATGTTTTGAAAGATAAAATCAATCACTGAGGTTTGCTTGGTTCAGAGCTGCAGGCGTGTCAATTTGGAGACAACCAAGTCCAGAGACAGCCTGCTCAATTCCTCTATAAGGGATATTGTCATTAGAGGACAAGCATAAGTTTAAACTCTCACAGGGTTGACAGCAGAAGACAAGCATTCTTCTTCAGCTTGGACCTCACATTGCACTACATTTATTGCTCCAACATTGGAGCTTTGGATAAACTGTTTGACTGTCTGTGACTGAAGCCAAACTAAGACAACTTCAGTACAAGCACACACAAACTTGTATATCTAACCTCAGATACCACCTTCTCAGGCTCTGGCCCCAATATCTGTCATATATTTATCAGTTATTCAGGAGGGTGTGCTTCCAACGAGATGGAGTAGAGCATATACATTTCTCTAAGCTTAATGCCAGACATCAAGCTTAGTCACCACCAACTGTTTGATCTATTTCCTCAGGTAAGGGGAGTTGGCAAAGAAAATTATCTACTATAGCTCCTCATTTAGAAGGGCAAGTGGTAAATCAGTGTAGGTTGACTTCCCTGTGACTATTTCACTTTTTCCACAGCTTAGTGTTGAGTTTCGAAACCTGGAAGAAAACTTTGCATTTCCTGGAATTAAAATCAAAATCCTGAGGGAGAACATTTTAGAAATGCATCTTAATTGCAAGAAGCTTCACGTATTTTGATAACTAGCGACGATGTAATCGGAAACTTGAAAGGCTAGAATACCTTGTCTCATTCCCAATGTTGCCCTGAACTAAAGTTGGCATCGTCAGAAGATTCAGAGATTGAAGTGAATGAAAGACTGAAACAGACTTCCTCCATCTTCAACACAATACCTTCAAAACTCCTTCTGTAGCCATGCTAATGATTTCAGCCTTATAGAGTCATACAGCACAGAAACTCACCCATCGGTCCAACTCGTCTGCACTGACTGAACTAGTCCCATTTGCCTGCATTTTGCCTGTATCCCTCTAAACTCTTCCTATTCACATAACCATCAATGTACCAGCCTTTACCACTTCCTCTGGCAGCTCGTTCCGTACACACACCATCCTTTATGTGAAAATGTTGCCTGTCAGGTCCTTTTTAAATCTTTCATCTCACCTTAAACCTATGCCCTCCAGTTTTGGATTCCCTTACCCTGGGAGAAAGATCTTGGTTATTCACCTTATCTATGCCCTTCATGATTTTGTAAACCAATACAAGGCCACCTCTCAGCATCCCACTCTCCAGCGAAAGAAACCCCAGCCTACTCAACACCTCCCAATAGCTGAAACTACACTCCCCTCCCCCCCCACCACCCCAGGTCCTGGCAAAATCCTGGTAATTTTTTTCTGTAACGTTTCAAGTTTAACAACATCATTCTGATAAAACGATGACCAGACTTATATGCAGTGTTCTAAAAGTGGCCTCACCAATTGTGTTGTACAGCTGCAACATGGTAGGTTATGTAATACAAGTGAAGGGCCCTTCAGGATTGTTAAAGGTACTGTGCATTTGGGTAAAAAAAAGTCAATAAATTACTTGGAACTGTCAAGGTCTTTGCAATTGTCAATCTGTTGAGTCATTTAAATTTCCAGATGATTCAGTTTTTGAGAAAACTATCTGGGTTGTGAAAAATACTAGTTATCTATTCAACTCTGTTGACATAAACTAGAAGGCAAACTGATTTCAAAATATATTCCTATCATGAGTGTTTATCAGTTCATAGTTTGATTGGCAAGTCTAAATGCTAATAACATCTTTGAAGTGGGGCTGTGAATAAAATACATGTTTTTAATAAGGGATTAAATAATCAAAGGAAAATAAATCTGATGAATATATTTTTATCACTGAGAGTCATTTTTAAATACTGAATTCTTCAATACACAAGAAATTTGTCTTTTTTTTTCCCAAAGCATTTGGATATTGGATGAGATGCCTGGAAGGTATAAGGGCAAATTGTAGTGGATGAAGACATAGGTTAGCAATAAGTTGGCTTAGGGGCTAAAAGGACCATGGGAATAGGTGGAGTGACACAGTTTGGCGCAGAGAATATAGGCACCACAAAGAGTATTAGGCACCATTGGGTGTAGGAGAGAGCCATAAATTACAATAGACATTATGAGAGGCCATGGGATGGGTGGAGGACGTAGATTTGTATAAATGGTATCAGGGCCTTGGAGGCATGTAAAATGTCATAGGTCGCCGTGGGTTGGCATAGATGAAGCTTGGGAGAGTGTTGGGGGGCGTTGAGGGGATATAAGGGGTTTTTTTTGTTTTATTATTTTTCTAAAATTGCCAATGAACCTAAGCGGACCGACTTCAAAATTCAGTTCCATACCCGGGAGCTCCTGTGGCTGCCTCCAAACCTTTACAAGGGTGATGGCCAAATTCCTACCAACACACTTCCCCATAAGCATTTACCACCTGGGGCTCTTTGTTCTGTGTCAGCTTTGTGGTGACGGAAACTTTCCTGACTTTGCATTCCCATCCCAGAAGCCTTTGTGCAATCTACAACATGGACAACAGAGCTTTAGCTTATGAAGCGTGCAAGTTGGGTGTTTTGCTGATCTGATTTGGTATCTGTTTTGTCACGCCATCATGGCATTTCGTGAATGTACTTCATACAAACTTGGCACTGGGCGTATGCTGACAATTCCTGCTGGATTCCATTCGTCCTCAGCTCCGGATTCAGGTTGGGTATTTTAGTTCCAGCAAGCCCATCATGAGTATCCGTCATCTTCCCCTGTTTTCCAAATAAGGCATCAGGTACTATGTATAGACGCATAGAATCCCCATAGTGTGGGAACAAGTCTATCGGCCCAACAAGTCCACACCAAACCTCTGAAGAGCAACCCACCCAGACCCAATCCCATTCCCCTAACC